AAATTGAAGCTTCTCGGCTTCAATTTAACACACCAAAAAGTTCTCTGCTTTGTGCCTTTGAGAAGACAAAAAAACCAGTTTCTACTTTGTGCTAAAACCTCTTCCTGCTTTGTGCAATTTTCTCAAATCCAGCTTTTATTCTTCGTGCCTTGGTGTGCCCGAGTGATTCTCCAAATTGGTGTTGCCTTTGTGCTTGTGGATTAAAATTTTCTGAGTCTAAAAAAAGGGGGAATTCATTGTTTTTCAAATTTAGTTTCTTAATTTGATTTCCTTTATTTGTTAATTCAGTTTACTCATTGTTTGATTTGTTCAACTGTAATTAGATTCACACAACAAATAAAAATTTTACCAGTTACAAGGGTGTGAACTTCAAAGATATAGATTCATGTCTTGAAATTGACATTTGTACAAAAACATAATCGATAATTTCTTAAAACATAGTGATCAATGATATATGAACAAACATCTCCTTCCCCCCGTTAATAGTAGTTCCAGGTTACTTCGATATCCAAAACATGGCAGACATGGCCTCATACTATTCCGACGATCAAATCAATAACTCAAAGAGAGAATATAGGGAATATAGAGAATCGTATGGAGATGCACAAATCTGTCTATGAATAATTATAATTAGCACAAGTGGTTCTATATCAATTTAGGTGACATTGTATGATAGCTTCAATGAAATATATAATTTAGTGACTCATTTAATTATATATCTCATATAATATCACTTAATAATACCTAAATTGTCACTGTAACATCAATGTTGTTAAATAACATTACTCCATTTATATATATAGGCATTTGCTGATGTGATGTGAATGTTTCTCTCGAATCAATCAATTTCAACCTCTTCGTCTTTTGGTGACGTCACCCTTTCTCCAGCTTTATTAAAGGAAGAGGAAAATTTAAATTATTGTATCATATCTCTCATGTTGCATTCTTTTTCAATTAATTTAGATCTACCTAGTCAAGTAGTATTATTTTTATTATATTTAGCCAATAAATTGATAGAAAATAATCACCCACAAAATTATCTAAGAATTATTTGAGTACTGGCGAAGAAAGTTTCCAAGATTCATGTGAATTACAGAGAAAAAAAAAGTAATAAAAAAATGACACAACCTTGCAGTTTGACATCTACACGATGGCACAAGAAACTCCCCTTATCATTTGACAATTGTATCGAATATACCCACAAGTACAAGTAAGAGATTTTTATTTTATTTTTTTCGAATTTTGTTTAATTATTTATAGTGCAAATAATTTTAATTCATAAGATCGATGATAAATATAAGTAAAATAATATATCATTGTGAAAAGGATATAATTTTGAGCTTCGCAAATTCCGTGTACCTCCATTTATCTTTATTCGAGTTCCAATTCCAATGACAAAAACCAAAAATCGTGTCCTACGATGATTTTATATTGTATTTGGTTGATCCGTTATATAAATATAGTTTCTATTCGGGAAAAAATGTTTTTTGACTATGAGTGTTGGTCTTTGTTATATAAATTACAAGGAAATTTTTGAAACAATGATTTTGCCAATTTCAAAAAATAATGTATGCCA